AAAGCGTTTATATCCCCTACAAAGACAACCATCAAACTGGAAAAGGTCAATAGATGCATTAATGGAAGAAAAAAGCAAAAAAAGAGTACATGTACAAAAGAACTAAATTCCTAAAAAGGAAAAAAGACAATAAGCTAATAATAAAAGTTCTTTAAATATCCCTATTATAGATTTCGCTACTCCAAAAAGAAGTTCAGTTCTGCTACGAGAAAGTTCTTCCTTCATACATATCTTTCAATAGCAAATGTTCTTCCTACAACTTTTTTCAAGTGCACCATCATCCAATGAAAATGTATAACCCTAAGGATGACACTCACTTTTTTACTTTTTGATAGGCGAAAACTACATTAAGGATGACTACTGGACAATGTAATTTCAAGGCTGGTCCTAATAATTGAGACCGCAGAAGCTAGGAGGTCCAACTTGGGAAGCAGCAAGAGACAATGAAAATACAAGGTAACAGGTTTTGGACAAAAGTGGAAGACACCATTGGATGGCAGAGGAGCAAAAATATATACTGAATGGACAATAATCAAAAGAAGCAAATAAAAAGTATCAACATCTAAAACAATGGAATGGAAAGTCAGGTGTGCAGGAGCATACACATGCCACCTAGAATCACACGAGGAAAACTGTGTAAGAGGGATCTGAATCAATGCTACATTCTAAATGCAAAAGCTTCTGGAGAAAGTTCTCCATTGAAATTGCCAGAAAGGAAGACTTCTAGATTGGAGGGAGAGCTAAAGAGGTTGGAAACATGCAAACAACCATAACAATGAACAAAAGACTAACTCTGATTGTTATGTTAAACTTAGTTTCTGTAGTGGAGATCTCTGAATACGAGACTCATCCTTCGGGTTTCTCTGGACTCCTTGACATGACATGATATTTCTTCGAGGTATATCTCACATGTTTTGTGTACTTGATCATACTAAGACTATACAAAGGTCGCATCCTCCAAAATGCAAGTTCTGCATCACATATTAGGTGGTTGTTGCTTGTAAATTATAACTACTTACCTATAAAAAAGAAAAATCTCACCCTCACCGTAGTTGTACGACAACACTCATTGAAAACTTCTGCTTAAAGGAGATTCCCCTTTGCCGCATAAAGGAGAACAGAATTTGAGCACATCCAGATTTAAATGAACAATGGGAAAGAACCTATAATGCCATCACCTTTTTTTTTTGCTTCGTACTAGAATCAAAAGAATCGTGATGGAATGAGCCTAATGGAGTTAACATGTCTCAACACCTACTAGTCATTCATTGTTTATTTGTGCATCATGGGGTCATATATACCCTGCCCAATAGCACCAATTTGGAATTATTGGGGTTACACTGAAAAGTGATCTTCAATGCAATAGTATTAAAATCAATAGACCACTTATACTGCAAGGAGGGAAGCTCGTTATACAACACTAGAGCCAAAACAGGCCGGATTAGTGGTTAAACGAGAAAGGCAAGCAGACAGCTGCAAATAAAGGACCAAAGTCATAGCATGTTACAGCAAGAATTAGACCAACTTTTTCATGAGCAAAGGGATTAAATCAATATAGCACCAAGTCCTTTTTAGTGTACCAGAGTATGGATAACATATGAACTCAAAAAGATTCATCCAACTATTTACAATATGGAATAACTTTTTACACCAAAAATCTAAGTGACACAAAAGGAAGCTTTTCATTCTCCACAATGTTATAAATTTTGAACGCACTATATTTTACCAACTACTTACTCTCAGTGTTCAACTTTAGCTTAGGCACTTCAGCACTAAATTTACATAATTCCAAACATGTACATATACCAACACAGCCCATGATGTACCAACAAAAGATGTTTCTAGACCACCAACCCCTTGCCATCATTGGTGGATCCACCTTAAGTCAAAGTGATGTCAGAAGCTTTCATTGTCATTCAGGTAACTCAAGTCAAAGTGATGTGAGAAGCTTTCATTGTCATAAAGGTAAATTACATTTGGAATGTCTTTAGAGTAACAGTCAAGCGGGTTCAAACTTCCGCAATGAAACCCCAGCCGCGGCCGGTCAAGTTAGCTCACCATGCTTACTTCTTCATAGCTTGAACACCATTAGAGAAAAACCCAGCTGCACCCTTCTTACAGTTTTATTAAACCCTAACCTATTCACACTAACCCATAAAATACTTTCCCAATCAAATAATTCAAGGACTAGAAATAACCCATATTAATCAATAAGTCAGCTATTCCTCAAGCCAGAAGTACTTGTGGCTTCTGCATCCTATATACACTCTACTTTAGTGGACCTGCTTCATTCCAGCACTAATGATTAGACTTATCCCTGCATATGACATACTGCCTACAACATAAACAAATTCCACTGTATACTAACCCATGATAGCAAAAACAAAAATCAACTACAATTAATAAAAAGTATAGATAAACAACAACAACAACTACGCCTCAGTTTTATCAACCAACTAAGCTGGGTTTGGCTATATGAATGCTAACTGACAATGTTATAGCATGCCAATATTATACAATAAGTACAAATAAACAACAACAACAACAACAACAACTCCTCAGTCCAAACAAGTTGGGGTCGGCTATATGAACCATGTTATCCCATTCCAATATCATACAATAAGAAGTAAAAATAAACAACAATTACTCCTCAGTCCCAACTAGTTGGGGGTCGGCTATATGAATGCTCACTAACCATGTTACTCCATTTAAACTCATTGCATGCCATTATTATACAATACAATAAAAAGTACAGATGTGCAAGAGAATATTACCACATGCTACCACGATATTTTAGCGTGTAAGGACCCGTCTCAAGCACACGACCAAAGTGGGTATGAACCTTATGCCTCTCATTACCACTCTGATCCATAAGAGACAGCTCAAACAAAGCTCTAACGTCAGTTGCATCACTAGCCAACGCGATAAAAAGCGAGACATAAGTACCATTATCCTCAGCACTTTTACCATCAGGGTAAAAGTAAACAGCCCAAGAATGACCACCCACGGTAAAAATCTCAGAAGTTACATATTTCCCAATTCCCATACCTTTAGATAATGAGTAACCTTCTACCTTGAATTCGTGAGACCCATTAATCGTCTCGATTCGAGATGTCGATGTGGTGGTTGTGGGTTGCGATGATGATGAATTTGGGGATTTTGAAGGTTCCGATGGAACCCTAAATGTGCCCATATGGTGAAAAAGATCGAATTTTGGGGGTTTAACGGGTCGGTGAAATAATCGGTAGAATTGAGGAAAAAGATTGAATTTGTGATGAAATTGAACCAAAAGATTGAATCTTCGGGTTAATGGGACGGTGAGAAATTGGTGGAATTGAGGAAACGATTGAATTTTTGGTGGAATTGAGGAAAAAGATTGAATTTGTGATGAAATTGAACCAAAAGATTGAATCTTCGGGTTAATGGGACGGTGAGAAATTGGTGGAATTGAGGAAACGATTGAATTTTTGGTGGAATTGAGGAAAAAGATTGAACTTTAGGACTAATGGGTAGGTAAAAATTGGTCGAATTGAGGAAACGGAACGATCAATTGGGTTAATTGATCGGTGAAAATTGGATGGAAATGAAGGAGAGGTTTAGGAAGAGGGAGATGTGAGTTTAGGGTTTTGCGAGATATGGAAAAGGGGTTCCGCGTGAAGGCGAGAGAGAACAAGAAGGTAAAGAGGTGTATTTATAAAGTTCTGTGAATGGCGCATCCAAATTGTTTAATATTAAAAAAAGAAAATATTATTAATATAAGAATATTACGTAATGATCGAGTACTCCATTTAATAAAATTTACCAATTGATAAGTTTTTCTTTTTTTCTTTTGTGAATCGGTTCCATACGTGAGATCTGGAAAACATAGTGTGTACGCAACCTTAACCCTATACTATAAAGGTAGAGATAATGTTTCCGATAGATCTCAGCTTAAGGAACGGTAAAAATAAAGCAACAACAACAATAACAACAACAATGTAATAAGATAATGGAAGTGAGTGACATAACAAATATAAAGAACCAAGAATAAAAGAATATGAGAATTGTACTAGTACTATCGGTAAACCTCGAACAAACTATCAAATACCTGTCAACCTACCACCTTATGGAATATAAATATAAAAACAAAATTCAGCAAGTTCTAAATGAAAGATTACAAAAATAATCTGGCTCTAACCTCTCTCCCATTATAATTACAGTCTTACAGACCATTGTGCGATGTAAATTAGTAGTGAGCGATTTAAGTCTTGACTCATTCACCTCATTTGCATAAATAATACCACTATTTTTCATCAGTTGATCGACGTAGTAAATTACTTTTCCTTAAAAAGAGGTCATTTTTTAGAGGAACTCAAATAAGTCGAACATTTTTTGCACATTTGAATTCTTTTCTGCTACTTGAATAAATACTTTGATGCATGTTACTACTCATTCCGATTCATTTTAAGTGATTTTTTGGTCTTTTTTTGTGGTCCACGATATTTAATTTTTTCAGATATCAAGAAAGAATTAACTTCTTCTTTCCAAAGTTGCCCTTGAATTAAAGAGCCTAGGAGTAGTTTGTTATATTTCTAATGAGCAAATTAAGGTTAATATTTTTTTTGGTAATTAAATATTTTATTTACCAAGTAAAATATTTACAGCACATACAACTATTACAAAATTTGCTCTCGCGTATCACTTACTGGACATGCAGCCCCAGTAAGGAGACACCTATCTTTAACTGCTACTACTGCCTCTTCTACTACCAAATCTGTTTCATGCTCTAATTTACTTCAGGATACCAGTTCAACTTAGCCATTGCTCTAGATAAGAGAATTTAGCTGCCCTTATATGTATTTCCTGAATGATAAGACGAAGTATAGCATTATTTGTTCTTCTCTTCTTCTGAAAGATCACATTGTTTCTCTCTTGCCAACAGTGATATACTACAGCTGCTAGTGTCATCCTACATATTGATGCCCCTGCACTCTTCCCTTTGCACACCTGTGTCAACCGTGTTATTTTTTCCTGCCATGAAAGCGTTGATCTTCGTATACCTTCCATTTCAGCAAACCATTCCATATTTTCCCTGTTTCCTCACAATAAAAAAATATGTGTTGCACTGTATCATTTTTCTTGTTACATAATGAGCATGTTTGTTCTGTAATAACACCCCATCTTGCAAGTCTCTCTTTAGTTGCTAGCCTTTGCTGGATTGCTAGCCTTAAAATGAATGTCCACTTTGGTTGTCTTTGATTATTGCATACTAACTTCCTCCATGTCACTTTTTGGAATTCTCCTTGCAAGGCCTTGCATAGTTGTTTGACTGAGCATTTCACCATCTTCTGAACATCATCTTCAGAGAGCCCTGCAATTGTAAAGTATTCCTTTGCTTTGAAGACCTTTTGTATTGCCCAGGATGCACTCTTTGGTTCTGTACCCCAGACTGTGCTACCCTTTATGTAGTAAGTATGCACCCATTGGACCCATAGCTTCTCCTTTCCTGTGCAAATACTCCATAGCAGTTTAGAGATGGCAGCTTTGTTCCACAGCTCCACGTTAGTGAAGTTCAGACCCCCAGCAACCTTTGGTGAACATAATTTCTCCCAGGCTATCAAAGCCTTCTTTGTTGGTTCAACATTTCCTGTCAAACCTTCTACAGATAGCTTCTATGAACTGGATAATTTTCTTAGGCAGTACAAAAATCTGGGCCCAAAAGGTTTGAAATAGCAAATAACACACTTTTGACTAGTACAACTCTTCCTGCATATGATAGGAATTTTGTGGTCCAGCTTTGGATCCTGCTTAGCATCCTCTGTATTAGGAGTTCACATTGTATAGCAGACAACCTCTTAGTACTCAAAGGGACCCCCAGATATCTAAAAGGTAGGTCACCCTTTGTATAGCCTAATATCTCCATAATTTATTTTTGCAACAAGTTTTTCACCCCCACCAAAATAAATGCAGCTCTTATTTGGATCGACAATCAGACCTGGTGCTACTGAAAATAGCTGAAAATGCTTGTGCAGAATCTTTACTGACTCAACATCTCCTCTACAGAACAAGAGTGAATTATTTGCAAATCCCAGCTGGACTAGGTTGAATCTGGCACACCTTGGGTGGAATCTAAACTGCTTATTATCTTTCAGTGTCTTCAATGATCTACTTAGGTACTCCATTGCCAGGACAAATAAAAAGGGGGAGAGTGGATCTCCCCGTCTTAAACCTTTCCTTGCCTCAAATGGTATAAATGGTTTACCATTAATAAGCATTGAGTAGGATACAGTTCTGATGCAAGCCATTATCCATTTTACAAATATTTTAGGAAAATTTAGTAATTTCAGCACTTGTTCAATATACACCCATTCCACAGAGTCATATGCCTTTTGCATGTCAATTTTAAGCATACATCTAGGAGATATATTCTTCCTTCCATATCTTTTGACTAGTTCATGGCTCATAAATATGTTATCTGTAATCAATCTCCAAGGTACAAAAGCAGCTTGACAATTATCTATCAAGTCTGTCATCACCCCTTGATTTTGTTGTAAGCACCTTTGAGATGATCTTATATAGAATTGTACAACATGAAATTTGTCTGAAATATATTATATTTGTTGGATTCTAGATCTTTGGTATCAAGGTGATTGTTGTGCAGTTGATAGCTTTGCACATATTTGCACTTTCAAAGAACTCTTGAATTACTGCAGTTACTTCCTCTTCCAGTATGTGCCATGTCTTCTTAAAAAAATAGAATTGTACCCATCACACCCTGGTGCCTGTTGATACCCAATTTTTTTCTATGTATTTTTATATACAAAATACTTTCAAAATAGTATGTACATACCATATATAAGCATGCCCAAGAGTTTTGGTATTTTTTCCTAATTTTTAAGATTTTAAAATCAATTTATTGTCTATTTTTAGCAGTACAAAATCCAATAATTACTTCCAAAATCATCAATTTTGGTGAATAATTTATTTTATTCCCATATTTATACTAAAATATAGTTAAGGTGATTTTTGTATATTTTTACAAATTTATTTGGTATTTAAAAGACTAAATTGCATATAATTGCAATTATAGCCTACTTTAAGATTAATAGCATTTTATAATTGTAAAATTGGATCCAGTATTTTTAAATCAATATTTATATACTATTAATTGTTTCAGTACTTTTAATTTGCTTTTTAAAATCATCTTCACTATTTTTATAAAATAAAAAGAGAAATTGGCTATTTAATATTTAGCCCCATTTTTATTTCAATAACAGCCCCATTACATTTCAATTGTAGCCCTTAAGTTGACTCAATTAAACCAGCTCAATTTCATTTGGACCCAACCCACGACCCAATTCCAAATGACCCGCCCGGTTCCTACTATTGATCCAGGCCGTTGATCATTTTGATCAACGGTCATAAACCACTCTTACCTTTTTTAACCCCAAACGACTACCCTAATCCCTCATTTCCCATCTCTCAACCACCTTTGAAACCTCTCGTCTCTCAAACTCTCTCAAACTCTCCGAAACCCTAGCCTCCTTCTACCCCTTTTCAACCACCACTCCACCGGAATCCATGGCTTTTCAGGCCATGGATGGTTGGTACTCACTCCCCTCCATCAGTAAACCATGGTTGATCGAAGCTTCGAGACCTGACCTCGATGGTTCTCCTTCAGATCCTTCTCAGATCTGTAGATCTATGTCTTCTCCGGCCATTACCCCGACATGTTCAAGCAATATGAGTCTTTTCGACTCAGGATCTGACTTTCCTCAAGACCTTTCTCATTTCTAGGGTTTTCTCTGCAACTCTAAGCCATCTGAGGTTCTGTACTCGCCTATTTTTCTTAGATCTGTGATATGTCTAGGCTTTACTTGACATTTTAAAAGGGTTTTCCCCAAATTTCTTTTTCAAATTCGCTCAATTTCAATTTTAGGGTTTCTGAAAAAGTTTCTTCGAATATCTTTCTGATTCTTTTTGTTCTTTCTTCATGTGTGTTTACCTATGCTTTCTTTTCTACTATGTTTGAGTTTGCTCTCTTGTTTCCTTTCTATTATGCAAGATTCTTCTACTTTTGTTGTTATTCCTGTACTCACATGTTAATCCGTGTTGTTAATCCTTATTCTTTGTTATACGTGTTTATGGTTGAGTTCTTTGATTTTGTTCACTTTATTTAGCTCTGTTTGTGTTCTTACTAAGCATATTTCACCTGCTTTTGTTTAAGCTCGTATCATCTCTTTCTTTTGAACTTGTTTAAACTCCGAGTTTTCCCAAACATGTTCTCATGATCTTGAATCAGTTTTTTCTATCATGTATGTTTGTTTCTCATAAAGTCTTTGGAAGAGACTTCTGAGCCTCTTTCAATGACCTGCTCTCTCACCTCTATGTCTGACTCAATTCGAAACCCAAGGATTTGGGGGTTTCTTTGGCAAGTGATATTAGGGTTCCACTTTGGGACCCTAGGCTTTTAGACTCACTATGAGTCTGTGACTGAACTCGATTCCCTTTTGTTTGTGACTCTAAGGCTTTCAATGATAGACTCTTTTTCTGAGTAACCTGATGATTCCTTTCGTTTGATTGGTATGTTTTATATATGTGAAATTTCTCTTTCAAAAGGTTTTTACCAACTGATTGATTGATTCTAAAATCCTTTTAATAAGGCTGACGAATTGTCACTGATGTTTTCTTCAATTGAACCTCCTTTACCTTTCTTGACTTAGTTCATTCGAATTGAACCTGTAATTTTGGTTTCATGGTTGTTTGATTGATTTCCTTGCCATATTTGGCACAAACCGTGTACCATTGATGGTTTTCCTTAAATAACTTCTATGTATTTACCCCTTTTGTGCTACTTTGAAAGGTTTTAATTAAAATTTATTTCCTTAACTGGCTTTTACCCGTTGGAATCAGAATCCCTTAACCAAAGGGAGATTGATTTCAATGATATTTCCTTGCCTTTCTTACTTGTTTCTCTGCACTATAAAAGGGACTACCCTTCTGCACTTTTAGGACCACTTCGAGTTCAATACCTCAAACTTTTAGATCAATACTTTCAACTTACTTACACATTTTATTGCTTTGAGTTCAATACTCTTACAACATTCTGCTCTTTTCTGGGATCTTTTGGAACTTTTGCTTGCAACTTGGCTTTTTCAAGACTACTTCTACTTGTTTGTTTTCCCTGAAACTGGTATGTTCTAATTTAGCTTTCCTGCCTCACCCCTATGTGTTTATTTACAGTTTTCTACAATCCTGTTTACTTTGTTGTTCATGATTAAT